ACCGCACTGGAGGCTTCCTGTCCGTCGACGGTGCTCCCATCGTCCAGATCACAGCTGGCGCCACTCCTGATGTAGCCACCCAAGTTCGCTGGTCCGACGCTGCTGCCCCTGCTGGCACCCCAATCACCGAGCATGCGCCATTGGCTACCGCGCTGGCCGCCGCATTCGCCAACCCACTGGAGGCAGCGCGGTGGCTTTGGCATACGATGGTCGCCGTGGTTCACGAAACCACACGTCGACGGCCTCAACTTGGCCTCGTGGAGTGCACAGGCGCTCAACGGCAGATCGGCACCAAGGCGGGCCCTCAAGAGACAGTTGTTGCTCCGTTACATGAGGCAACGGGCGGTCATCGCCATCCAAGAGACGCACGGCAACAGCGTCGACATGGACCACCTGGCCGCGGGCTCCGACCACAAGTACATCGCCTTCCACTCAGCGCTAGTGACTGACGGCCAACCCGCGGAGACCGCAGGCGGAATCGCCTTCCTGGTTCCCTTTGACCGAGCTGAACTCCAACTGCCACCTGATCAACGACCTCTACGTTCATTTCGCGCGATCGTCCCTGGACGCATTGGTGAACTACGCGTTCAAGACGGGACAAGACAGCATGAGACAACAATCTTCAACATTCACAACTACGACCTCAGCGGATCTGACCGCCAGCGCTTCAAAGCTGCGTGGCAAGCAGCTGTTCAACGCCCAGCCCTCCACCCAGACAACCACGACTACTACATGATTGGTGATTTCAATATCGCCCAGGCGCCGCCGAAGAGCCTGCTTCACCCCACCGCGGACTCCACCGCCGAGCGTTACCACTACCAGCCCGCCTTCTGGAAGAATATCTTCTCACAGATGATGGAGATCACTGCGAAGGCCACCACGCACCGATGCGTGGCCAACATGACGGAGGCGACCATCGACAGATGCTTCGTCTCGATCAACGCATCAAACATCCCGCACATCGAGACACTTCTTGTTGCCGATGGCCGACCGCTCGACCGAGAAGGGGAGCCCACCAGCGATCACAATATTCTACATCTGCGGCTTCGACCTCGTTAGCCACGTCCAGTCAGCGAGCGCGGCATCCCCGCCTTCCTCTTCGAATCCAAGCACTACAAGTTCTACTACAATCGCCTTGTCGAGATGGCCGACCTCTCAGCCGATCCCATCTCAAATTGGCGTACTATGAAGCACGTAATGAAGATGGCGGCATGCAAGGCTCGCGACACCATTACCTCTGTCTCCGCCACCGAGATCAAGCCGTTTGAGTGCCGAAATGAAGACCCACAGGTCATGGCAGAGGCACGTACACTCACACTCCGCAGTATTGCCAGGGCCGTCTGGTACCAAGACCTCACTCTCGCCCAGCGACTTCGGGAGGACACCACTGCTGGAGCACAGCACATCGACATCAGTCACCACAAGATCTCTCTAGTCGACCGTTCCGCGTTCGAGACCGAGCACTCCGCCATGCAGCTTCATATTGCTGAACAACGACGTCGCGCTGCTGCCGCCCGCTCGCGGGCTGCCTACGCGGAACAACGACCCGACCTTGGTGAACGATGGCGTCGTCGTGCTCGTCGTATTGGACAGCGCAGCGAGATCTGGAAGCCGTTCTCGAAGCGCTTGATTCTTGCAGGTGTCCGCATCACCGACAGCAGAGGCCCGACAGTCGCCACCGACCCCATGGACATGCACAACGCTATTCAATCTGACTGGTCGAAGGCGTTCGCTGCTAAGCATGTTGACACCCAAGCGACGCAGCACTATCTGGACATGGTCGTCCCACCATTGCCTCCACGCCACTTGCCTCTACCTGGGATTGATGAACCTCAAGCTGCTGCTAAACACGCCAGTGACTCTGCTCCTGGGCCTGACGGACTGCCTTATCGAGCATGGGTACGATCAGAAGGCAGCATCGAGATCCTCCACATACTTCTCCACTCCATTGCTCACGGTGGACCGATCCCACACGACCTGAACTACGCGCTCATGGCCATGCTTCCCAAGGGTGATGGGCCCATGGGCAACTACGAGTGCTCGCGCAGCCCTGACTGTCTACGCCCCCTCGCCATGAAGAACAGCGACATCAAGATCATCGCCTCCGCGACGAACCGCCTCCTCAGCTCCGTGGCGTCGGACACCGAGGAAGAACAACAAGGTTTTGTCAGTGGCCGTCAATTTTTCTCCAACATTGTCAAAGTGGACACCAGCGCCCGTATCACCAGCATCAACAGCGATGCCTCCAGCATGATGCCCTGCTTCGCCAGCATGGACATCGCCGCAGCGTTTCCGAGCCTCACGCACACGTGGTTGTGGGCTACTCTAAGGCGGTGGGGCATCCACGGCAGCTTCCTCAATCTCCTGCAGTGCTGCTACAACATTCCACGTGCCTTCCTCGACCTAGGTGGTATTCGGCGACCGCTACTTCTAGCAGACTCTGGGGTTGCGCAAGGACGCCCCTTGAGTGGCACGCTCTGGGCGCTAGTCTTCGATCCCATCATCAAGGGCCTCAAGATGGAACTTACTGCTTTGGGTAGAGGCCTGCTCAGCGCATGCGCCGACGACCTGGGTATAGTTCTTGCTGCATTTCGGGATCTTGGCGCCCTACTACCACACCTGCAAGCAGCACAACATCACGCTGGACTCCGCCTCCAACCGAAGAAATGCGTCCTCGTGCCCACCTGGTCCCTGCCAACGCCCGAGATCATCGCGAGCATGCGTGCCATCCTGACCCAGCTCTACGAGCCGTGGCAAGACTTCTCCATCAATAGCTTTGCGCGCTACCTCGGCGTGTACATCGGCCCTGGCGCTTCTCTCGACCGTCAATGGCAAGGTCCTGCCAACAAGTGGTGTGAGCGCATCCAGATCCTGAGCGACTCCTACGCTCCCATACAGCAGTGCATCAAGATGTACAACTCCGCTGCCATCACATGCCTCTCGTACGCCGGCCAGCTCTACCCGCCTTCCCCAGCATTCCTGTCCAAGGAGATTCACGGGTTCCACAAGCTGATCCGAGCTGCCCCATCAAGCTTCACGAAGGTGGACATCCTGTCGTTCTCGCTATGGGCGTCCGCCACGATCCCACAGGGTATTGAAACGCTTCTTGCAGCAACGATGTGGCGCGCCTCCACGGCCACCATCCCTGGCTGGCAGCCTCTGCTTCACGCACTCCGTGCCCATGCTGAAGAACTTCCCCCGCTACGAGATGTTGTTGTTGGCAAATGGTCTGCTTCATGCTGGATTGACGCCACTTCCATCGTGCAGCGGTTCGACGACATACTTCGCAATAAGCTGATCGCGACGGGCAAAGGATCCATCTTCAAGATGCTCACGCGATCCACAGGATCTACGGTGAATGCCGCCCAGATACTTCAACGAGCACATGCGCAAGCTGCTGCTGCTGGTCGACACGCTATCATGGCATCCCGTCGTAACAAGGCGGAGGGAGGATCGGTACACACACAGTCGTGACAGGACTGGAGCTCACCAGGCACCACGCCGTGACAGGGCTGGTGACCTTCACACACCCAGTCGTGACAGGGCTGGCGGACCTCATCAGAGACATGCTGGAGTCATAGCTTCGGATGATGCTACTTCGAGTGCCACTTCACGCACCTCTCCACAACAAGCATACCTACGGGATCTACAACGCCAGCTGTACCGCGACTCCTTCCACAAGACTATCCATCACCGTCTCCGTGCCTGGTTCCCACTACTTCCTGTTGGTAGTGGACCGCAGATGACACCTGCTACGACCGAGCAGCCGAATGGAAACGACAACCATGACTCCATGAAGTATCTGAAGGAACGTGCAGAAGCATGGGCAGCAAGATGGATCCCCAGTGTATTCTTCGGCCGCGATATGGACAACTTCAACGACTGGATGGACTGGTGCGTCCCGTACATCACAGCGGTTCTTCACCGCACCCAGTTCAACGCGCACTTCTGCCTCGACGACCAGTATGGGTCAGCCAGTACTCGCCGTGACATGGCGAAGGAGATATGTTACGCTGCATGGCAACGAGCTGAACGATCTCGCAACCACCGTCTACAGATCTTCACCACCGAGCACATGCCGACGAACACTCATCGAGAATGTGCTGATGAAGCTGCTGAACACCGCGCCCGTCGTCGCTGGATCGAACGGGAACGTGCCACCAACCCGAACCTCCCGCAGGAAGACGAAGGCACTCAGTCTACCACTACGGCCACCTCCACACCTCACATATACACCGCCAATGACATCATGATGGACTCCGGTACATCCGCCCGTGACGGACTTCTTGGCCGAGCTACTCTCCCTGCGAGTGTTGAGCAAGGCTGGCGCGACCTGCGACCTCACTTGGCGAACTCCACGGCCTCGCTCTTCTGGCCCGTGGTCAAGACCCTGTCTGGAGCATGGACGACATCGCACCGCATGCACGTCAACCCCCACAAGAAGAACTGCCTGTTCGGATGCGACAAAGACTCGCAGATCAAGAACACGGACGACATCAGCCACTACATTACATGCCCACGAATGTGGGCGTTACTGGCTCTACCTCGTGGTCAACCTGCTGGTGACGTCCTCACACGGCTCGGACTCCACGAGAGCAACAACATCGACGACCATCCGAGGCGCACCATCACACGCATGGCCGTAGCCTTCCGCACGTACAACATCATGCGGGCGCGCACCGAGCTGGGCACGCCCGCCATCCACGACGAGCTCAAGATCCACAAGGAGGTGGTCGCAACCGTCCGCCGCGTCCTGAGGTTGCCTCGGTGCCTCGTGGGCGGCGCGGGCCCGCTGCGCCTCTAACTCGCGGACACGCGCCCCCTTCAGCGCGTCGTTCGCTCCTCCACCTCCTCCACCTCCTCCACCTCCTCATCCTCCTCCTCCTCCTCCTCCACCTCCTCCTCCTCCTCCTCCTCCTCCTCCTCCTCCTCCTCCTCCTCCTTTACCCGCCCCCCCCCCCCCCCCCCCCCCCCCCCTTTCTCACCCTCGCCCAGCCAAGGCCGGCCGCGAGGTGGCTGAGGCCGAGCGCAAGGCGGAGGCCAAGCGCGTGGAGCGCAAGGCGGAGGCGGCGCGCGCGGCAGAGGCCGAACGCAACGCGCAGACCCATCGCCAGGCGGAGGCCCAGCGCAAGGCGGAGGCCGAGCGCAAGGTTGAGGCCCAGCGCGAGGCGGAGGCCGAACTCAGGGCGGAGGCTGACCGCTTCCTCCTCCCACTCCTCCCAGGCGTGTCTCTGGAGGCTATATGCGGTCCCTGGACGCCCCAGGGGGCCCCTGGAGGCTTCAGTGGCCTCTGAAGCTTCAAACAAGCTGTACACCACCGAACGTATCCTCCGTCTCCACCTTCATCCTTATGATTTATGAGCAGGAGTTCCTCGTCGCGCCACCAGGCGTGTCAATAGAGCGGGCCAGGCATTTCCGCCGACCCCCCTTTACAGCTCAGGATCCTGAAGGTCGAAATCTCCAACACCTCGTTTTGCATTGTCTCTCTATTTCTGTGTTTTTTGTTTTTTTTGTTTTCTCTCTATCTCTCTCTTTCTCTCTCCCCCACGCGCCGCACACACTCGGACTAAAAGCTTGCACTAAAGTGCACGGATAGAGTGGGTCGTTTCCAACATGTGGTTCGCGCCGTCACGCCGCGCACATCCGACGCACACACTGAAAACAGTTAGAAGGCGGTTCTTGTCCAGTATAGCATTCTCGCTTGGTGCGTCCTCATATTCGACTCCCCGAAACTATGGTTGCACGGGTACAGGACGGCTGCTTGTTAGAAGGCGTTTTCGTTTAGAACATGTTCAGATTCTGATCTGGATCAGCGAAGTGCGCAAAAGCACCACGGAGGAGGGCGGCTCCATTTAAACATAGAACTTTACCGTGGCGGATCCATGATCGTTATGTTCCCCTGCTCCGATGCACATGTGCACCCGTTACACTTACAAGGATTGTGTAGACACGTCATGATTGAAAACGGAGTTCCCGACCGCATGGCACGCCCAACGAGCGATCGTCGTCAAGAGCTCGTCTTGTTGTGGCACGGAGTACGTTAACATGTTCAAACATGAGTGGGGGCTTGGACTTGAGACAGGTGGATGTGTTACAGCGTCGCTGCTGTACCCCATGTTTGATCTGGGCTATGGCCTTCCTTTCCTCTTCCTCCTCCTCCTCCTCCTCCTCCTTCCTCTCGTCCTCCTTCTCCTAGTCGCCCTCATCCTCCTCCTCTCCTCCTCCCTCTCCTGCTTCTCATGCTCCTCCTTGTGCTCGAAGGCCGAGCGCAAGGCGGAGGCGGTCGTGCGGCAGAGGCCACGTGCGCCTCGTCCTGCTCCTCCCGCGCGCCACTGGTGGCGATCCACGGACGCGGTCAGACCGTGGCAGGTTGGGCGACAGGCCGCCCGCACTGCCTGAAGAGAGCATTGCCGCCGATGCCCCGGCCGACTCGACAGACCTCGTGGTAGGTATTGCCGCCGGGGGCGAGGGCACTACCGGTGGGCCACCGCTTGCTGCACCGCGAGCACAGAAAGCACGGGAAGAACAGCAGGATTGCGGATGCACTGGCCTCGCGCGCAGCGGCGCGGCGCCATCACCCTACGCACGGGGATCGTGCAGGCGATTGCCTTTGCAGCCGTCCTAGTCGTGGCCGGCAGGGCTATGCACAAGTCTCCACATCGCCGCCGCCAATCTCAAAAAAACGTCTTGGCGCACGTCGCGATACGAGGCGCCCCGCGCGGTCGCCGCGCACTCCACCACTCCTCCTCGTCCTCTTCCCTCCTCCTTTTTCTCCTCAGCTTCCTTCCGTTCTTCCTTCCTCGTCCTCCCTCGTCCTCATGCTCTTCCTCGTCCTCCTCGTCTTTCTCCTCTTCCTCCTCCTCCTCCTCCTCCTCCTCCTCCTCCTCCTCCTCCTCCTCTTCCTCCTCCGTCTCCTCCTCCTCCTCCTCCTCCTCCTCCCCCCTTTCCTCTTCATTGCATATTGCTCTTCTCCTCGCTCCGCTTGGCGCGCCGTCTGGGTGGGCCCAGTGTTTCGCCCGAGACCTTCAGCCTGCGGTCCTGAAGCCCTGATTTTGCCAGCGGCTACACAGATGGCTGTCCAAAAAGGGCCTCGCCTTCCGGGAATGGAGAGGCTAGCATCTCCTCCTCGGTGGAAGGCGGCGGAAGGCCGGCGAACGGCGGCGGAAGTGCAATTGGAGAGGGTCCGCCGGCGGAAGCCGGCGGCAGTAAACATCGCCCCATCCAAGAGATGATAATGTTTGGGGGGTCAGGGTTTGGAAAATGCGCTACATGGAGGGCGGGTTGTTTTCAAGATGCGGATATCGCAGGGGCGCCGCACGCGTTTGTTTTGCGGCCCGTTTTCAGCATGTAGCTCCCTCCTTGGCGCAGCGCGTTCGTCTTAAAGGTCACCCAGTGTCACAAGGATGGAGGGCGGCCCGTTTTCAAAATGCGCTCGCCTGGGCGTCGCGCGCATTCGCAGTGGGCGTTCCTAACGGCTAAGGGTGGCCCGCTTTCACAGCGATGCTCCCGCTTTGGTGCCTCCCAGGTTCGCCCCACAAGTTCCCAGCAGTTACAACAACGGAGGGTGACTGCTTGTCAAAACGGGGCTCTCGCTCGAGATCCCCCCTTGCACGATGACTGGGATAGTAACATTGCCCAACGGCTGCAAGGATGAAGGGTTGCTCTTTTTCATACCAGGACTCCCGTTCGAGATTTCCTCAGCTGTAATGGCAGAACGGGTAAGTGTGTGCAGCAAGACTGATGGAGGGTGGCTCATTTTTCAAAACGAGCCCTCAAAGGACTCTTCCTGAAAGCTACTTGCTCGCGTTCCTTACAACTAGACGGACGCCGGGCATGTCCTTTCCAAGCTGTGCTTTCGCACGAATGAAATGTCCTTTGGGCGCCCGTCTTTCAAAAGGGCGCCTCCCGCAGTGAAGAAGGGTATTGGCAGGGACTTATCGGGTGGACTTGAGACGGGAGGGTGTCCTGCAGCATCGTAGCATCGTTTGCGCGTCTTTGATGCATCCTGGTTTTACTCGGTCCGCCTTCTCTTCCTCTTTCTCCTGCTCCTGCTGCTCCTCCTGTTCCTCCTTCTCTTCCTCCTCCTCCTCCTCGTCATCATCATCATATCATCATCCCTCTTACTTCCCTCATCTTAGCTCCTCTTCCCTCCCTCCCGCCCCTCCTCCCTCCTCCCCTCCCCCTTTTCTGTCTCGCTTTCCTCCCTCTCCTCCCCCCTTCTTCTACACACTCCATGCTCCAAGTCCTCCTCCTCCTCCTCCTGCCCGTCATCATCAGTATCATCAGTATCATCATCATCATCATCATCATCATCATCATCATCATCATCATCATCATCATCATCATCATCATCATCATCATCATCATCATCATCATCATCATCATCATCATCATCATCATCATCATCATCATCATCATCATCATCATCATCATCATCATCATCATCATCATCCTTCATTGTGTATTTGTGTGCTTCCTCCTCCTGTATATCGCTCCTTCGCCCTCCTCTGCCGCCTCCGTCTTCTCCTCCCGCTGATGCGTCCCCCCTCCCGCCGCGGCCTTGGCACCCGCCCCTCTTCAGAATGAGTGGGCACAGACGCCTGCCGCATACCTCCCTCCAGCTCTTGCGCCCACTCCTCCCCCGTCACGCTCCCCCCTCTTCCTCCGTCCTCGTCCCTTCCCCATCCATCGTCCATCCTCCTCCTCAGTCCTCAATCCTGCATTGTTTATCCTCTCTCTCTTTCCTCTTGCTCCCTCCTCTTTCCTCCTCGCTCCTCCTCCTCCTCCTCTCCTGCTCATCCTCCTCCTCCATCCCCGCCTCCTCCTCCTCGTCCTCGACCTCCTTTTCCTCCTTTCTCTCTCTCTCTCTCGCTCTCTCCCTCTTGTTTGTGCTCTCTCTCTCTCTCTCTTTATCTCTCTCTCTCTCTCTCTCGTTATTTCTCCTTATGGTTGCTCTCCCTCCCTCTCTCTCTCACCATCCTCGTCCAATGCCGCCCTCGCTGCATCGGAGGCCGAGCGCAAGGCGAAGGCCGAGCACGTTGCAGAGGCCACGCTCGCCTGCTCCTGCAAACCTCCTCCGCCCGCCGCCTCCTCCTCATCCTCCTTCTCACCTGCCCAATTCTCCCTCCCTCCCACCTCCTCCCTGCGCAGCTCCTGTCCATCCTCCCATCTTGCGTCTCCATCCGCCATCATCCGCCTCGACCTTCCTCTTCTCCATATTTTTTTGTCTCGACGCCTCTGCCTCCGTCCTTGGTCTCCCCCTCTCCTTCCCCGTCTCGTTCTTTTCCCCGCCGCCTTTTCGCGTCCTCTTTCGTATCCTTCTCGCCACGCCCCTCGCTCAATTCATGGCCCATCAGACGCTCCACCGAGTGTCTCCGTGGCGCGGTTCGCACGTGGGCGTCACGCCCATGTCGGCCCCCCCCCCACACGTTTCGTGGCCCCATAGGGGGGTCCATCTGAGGCCTCTGCAGCGCAGTTCGTACGTGGGCGTTGCACCCCTTTCGGCACACCCCTCACACGTCTCGTGGCCCCATTGGGGTTTCACCGAGTGCCTTTGTGGCGCAGTCCGCACGCGTGCGTCACGCCCGTTTCGGCACACTCCTCACAGGCTTCGTGGCCCCGTAGTGGGCTCCACCGAGTGCATATGTGGCGCAGTTCGCACGTGGGCGTCACGCCCTGTTTCGGCACACCTCTCACGCGTTTCGTGGCCCACAGGGAGCTCCACCGACTGCCTCCGTGGCGCAGTTCGCATGTGGGCGTCACGCCGGTTTCGTCACACCCTTGAGACGCGTTGTGGCCCCATAGGGAGCTCCTCCTATGACTCCTCTGGCGCAGTTCGCACGTGGGCGTCACGCAAGTTTCGGCACACCCCTCACAAGCTTCGTGGACCCATAGGGACAATGGATGGACAAATTATCGCATGTTATTTTAAGTGTTCTGAGAAACAGCGTGCCAACTTGGATCAGATCTAATCGATTTCTGAGGAACTCCCCCCCGCACATTCCAATGCTGACTTGCATTATTTTGTCTACCTGGACTTGGGGTGCTCGCTTGATGCCAACATTGAAACGTAGGGGACGGGGATTGTTCGTCGAGGTGGCGTCGCACTGTAGGTGCAGCCGCACGCGGTCAGGAACAACTTGCAAAATTTCGTCGTCCCGCCAAAGCTCCACCGAGTGCCCCCGTGGCGCAGTTCGCATGTGGGCGTCACGCCCATTTCGGCACACTCCTCACGCGCTTCGTGACCCCAGAGGGGGCTCCACCGAGTGCCTCTGTGTCGCAGTTCGCATGTGGGCGCCACGCCCGTTTCGGCACACCCCTCACACGTTTCGTGACCCCGCATGGAGCTCCACCGACTGCCTTCGTGGCGTTGTCCGCAGGCGGTTCCCCACCCATGTCGGCACCCCTCTCACACTCTTCGTGGCCCCATAGGGAACTCCACCGAGTGTCTCCGTGGCGCAGATCGCATGCAGTTCCCCACCCATGTCGGCACTCTCCTGACACGTTTCGTGGCCCCATAGGGAGCTCCACCGAGTGCCTCCGTGGCGCAGTTCGCATACGGTTCCCCACCCATCTTGGCACACCCTTCACACGCTTCGTGGTCCCATCGGGAGCTCCACCGAGTGCCTCCGTGGCGTTGTCCGCACGCAGGTCCCACCTAGTTCGGCACACCCCTCAGACGCTTCGTGACCCCATACGGACATAGGGAGCTCCACCGAAAGAGATGGCCACAACGCGGTACCCACAGCTGCATATGGTTGGGTTTTTCGTCCAGACATTTGTTTTTTCGACATGGTGTTCCCGCTGCAGCGCTGGCCTCATTTGAGATTCGGCGCTGTGCTCCCGCCGTCCAGAATGGCGCTCTCACCTCAGCGCGGCCCACACTTCCGGATCTGATTCCTGCCTTGTCGTTGCTGCCCACCTCCTTCCCCTCCCTCCGCCTCACGACGGCGACGGCGACCACGACGACGATGAGCACGTCGGCGACGGCGACGGCGACGGCGTCGACGAGGACGTCGGCGACGGCGATGGCGTTCGACGGCGGCGGCGACGGCGGTGCTTCCGTCCACGACGGCGACGGCGGCGTCTCCGTCGACGACGTCGACGACGTCGACGACGTCGGCAGCGGTGCCCGAGAAGGCCGCGCCAGCGTCCCCGGCGCGCCGGCGCGGGGGGCTGGGCGCGGGCGGGGCGGCCGGGCTGCTCGAGGAGGCGCCGCGCTCCTGCGAAGGGGGTCCCTTCGGCCGACGGCGGCGACGTCGCTGGCGACGCCAACGCCGACGGCGTCGCGCGCTCCAGCACGAGCGGGAGCGGCGCGCAGGAGGAGGAGGAGGAGGAGGAGGAGGAGGAGGAGGAGGAGGAGGAGGAGGAGGAGAAGGAGGAGGAGGAGGAGGAGGAGAAGAGGAGGACCAGTGTAAACCCAAGATTCATCAACGATGTTGCAATGAACTCTCCCAGCAAGTTCCTTTTTCATAGATCCCTACAGTGACTCATGGTCACTCGGGGAAGTGTCCCGTTGGAAGACAACCGCTTGAAAATCAAGAGCATTGCCAAAACACAATTCCTGGGACTTCAATGCAGCGAATCAACGTTTCTATTGCTTCCTGACGCTCCAGCATCGTGTCAGACATTCCTGGGACTTCACCACCACGGATCAACGTAGCTGTACCGCCCTGTGGGACGTCAGCCATGTGAACCTTGAAACTGCTGTAAGCACTAAAGACGAATGACGGCCCGCCACCCATCCGAGAAAGTGATGCAACTTTTGAGAGTGGGAGTTCGGGCGCAGCAAAACGTAAGGTTTCACGAAGTCTGGGCCACGTGCTGGGGAGTGCTTCTCGCGTTTCCTCTGTCCCTCTTTCTCTTCCTCTGTCCGCCGCCCATTTGGGGCTCAAGTTTTTCTGTTGGCTTTAGAGGCCCTGGGCGCCCAGCGGTCCCCTTGAGGCGGCTTCGGGGAGCCACGCAGTCCCGTGCCGCGATCCGCCGGACAGGCGCCGAGTGCTCGCGGCCTGGAGGTGGCGGCGGGCTCGCTCGCGAGGTTGAGTCGAGACCCACATGCTGGGGTCCGCCCGTTGGAAATCGGCCGCCCACGGGCTCGAGGCGGGCGCGGAGGCGCCAGCGCCTCGTGGCGGGGCAGCGCGAAGCTGTGACAGCGCCGAGCAAGGCTGCCGGGCCGGAGAGATCTGGATCGGGGACGACGTTGCCCATGGTCTTGAGAGCCTCAAGGACTGACGCCGCCACGCCCGCAGTTCCGCAGGTCTGGGGTCGACCGCCGGAACAGGCAGTGGCCATCAGGGACCAGGAGGTGGGGGACCAGGGGCAGTGGACCCCCCTCTGGAGGCCCATCCGAGCGGGTTGGATCAGGAAAGTACCGCCGACCCGTGGGCCCCAGCGCGGCCCCCTGCCCATGCCGCCCCCGGTGCGGGACGGGCCGAGGTCGCCGAGTCTGGGGGGCCCTGCCCAGGAGGAGGGGTGCCCGACCCCGAGCCCTGCGGGGCCGAGGTCTGGGGGAGCCCGAGTGGGGCCCCGACAAGCCAGACGAGGAGGTCAGTGACCGGTCCGCGACCGAGGCAGCGGAGGAGGTTCTCGAACGGAGGCGCAGACCATGGGCCAGGCGAGGCGGAGGCCAATTACCCCACGGGAACCAGGCTGGTCGAGCACATCCATCGAGCAGCTAAGGATTCGCGGCGGTCTGGGGCCCTCGGGCAAACTAAAGACCCGAAGGAGCTGAAGGATGTGGAACAGCAAGCTGCGCTGGCCTTGGTGGCAAAGGGCGCTGAGGGCAGCTGCAACGCGTCCAGGCAGCAGTGGAATGTTTTCTGCTGTTTCCGCGGGAAGAGCCCCATCCTGGACAGGCAAAAGAAGCAGAAGTGTGAGGATGAAGAGGAACAGCTGCTGTTCGCAGTGCACGTTTGGAACAACCCCCACCGGGCGCACGGTGCGATCAACGCGAAGCTGCTAGGGGTGAGAGCTCAGCACGTGTGGCTTAGAGAGCAGGATCCGCTGCTGGGTGTGCCTAGGTTTTGAATGGGGCCGAATGGGATCGCGAGGCCACAGAGCCCAGGAGCTTGGAAGCTGCCAGTCGCGAGCTGCATGCTCGAGAATATCAGGAGGAGGTTGCTGCTGAGCTGGGGAGCTCGCCGCCGCCGCGGCAAGGCGAGGGGCGCCCCGCGCCGACTGCGCGCGGGCTGGGCAGGCGCCGACGAGGCATGTGGACACGATCGCGAACCTCGTCTGCCCAGGCTCAGCGAGGCGCGCGAGGCAATTCCCAATCGCCAGAATTACGATTCCGAGCAGTCCACGACGTAAAAGAACAGAAGATTACACGGTCGAGGGAACAAATTAAGCAACGCCCCCCCGTCCCCCGCAATTCAGAGTTGGCACGCATGCGAGTCGCTGGTCCGACATTCGAACTCGGGAGACCCGAGCCCACCATTGCAGTCGGGGGAGATGGGGGGAGTTCACAACATATGCCATGCGCGGGCGTCGCTCGATTGTTCCCGACGCCTGCGGGGGGGCAGCCCCGGCAAGGTGCCCAGCCAGCTTGAACTCTCGGCGCGCCCGCGGGGGCCGGGCATCTCTGGGGGGGAACCACAAAGTCAATGGGGGTCCAGGGGTCTGCCGTCCGGGGGGGTGTCGCTCCTGCCGCGCCCCGGTCATCCGCCGCGCGTTCCCCCGTCGGTCACGCGCCAGCAGCGCCGCGGGTTCCGCTTCCAGCTCTCGCGATAGTGACGCCAAAGAGCGCCAGCGGCGGACAGAGTGCCAAGTGCGCGGGGTGCGCGTTGCGGCCCATGTCTGACAGGTGCGCCCCGCGCGGCCGCGTCTGCCCGCTGCGCGGGTTCCTGGAACATGTAGAACTGACGTGGAACTCGCTCTAAAATTCAATGCGAATCCAATAGCACTGGTAGAACTTCTACAAATAAAAGCTATCAGACATTATTATTATTATTATCATTATTCATTTGAGTTCTACGAGTTGTAGTGGGTCCACGACGCGTCCTAGGGCGAGTTCTACGTGAGTTCTAGGAGCCCCGCGAGATTGCGAGACTTTCTGCTGCGTGCCCTCGGCGACGCCTCATCACGACAGGGCGCTCGGCGTTGCGTTCCCCGTAGCCACGTCGGCCCCGGGCGCCCCCTCTCCAGCGCCGCCGCGCGCGAGCTCGCCGCCGCGGCGCGGCGAGCGGCGCCCCGCGCCGTTGGCGCGCGGGCCCCGCGGCCGCCGCAGAGTCTTTTGCGGCGAGGACTCGGGCGACCCCGACAAGGCACGCGGACGCGATCGTGAGCCTCGTCTGCCCGAGTGGGCTCAGCGAGGCGCGCGAGGAAAATCCCAGTCGCCAGAATTGTGATCCCGAGCGGCCCACGAAGGAAATACATGCAATATTAAAGTTCAAAGTTGGCGCGCACGCGCATCGCTGGTCCGACACTCGAACTCGGAAGATCCGAGCCCAACATTGTTTTCGCGGGGAGGGGGGGAGTTCGCGCCATATGTCACGCGCGAGTGCCGTTCAAATGTTCCCTGCGCCTGCGGGGGGGCAGCCCCTGCGAGGCGCCCAGCTAGCTTAAACTTTCGGCGCGACCGCGGGGCCCGGGCACCCCTGGGGGGAGAACTACAGAGTCAGTGGGGGCCAGGGGGGGCTGCCGCCCAGGGAGGGGGTCGCTCCTGCCGCGCCCCGGTTATCCGTCGTGCGCCCCCCCGTCGGTCACGCGCCAGGAGCGCCGCGGGCTCCGCTCTCGCGATAGTGACGCCAGAGAGCGCCAGCGGCGGCAAGAGTGCCAAGTGCGCGGGGTGGCGTTGCGGCCCATGTCTGCCAGGCGCGCCTTGCGCGGCCGCGTCTGCCCGCTGCGCGGGTTTCCTAGAACTTGTAGGGCTGACTTAGACTTCGCCATAGAACTCATTGTTAATCCAATAGAGTGGGTAGAACTTGCATGAATACGAGATTCCGAGACTTTCAGTTGCGCGCCGTCAGCGGCGCCTCATCGCGACAGGGCACTCGGCGTCGCTTTCTCCGTGGCCACGTCGGCCCAAGACGCGCCCTCTCCAGCGCCGCCGCGCGGGGGGCGCCGCCTCCGACCCAGCTCGGGGCCGGGCCCAGCGGGCGACGCCCGCGACCGCAGAGCGCGGCCCCTCGCTGCTGAGCCGGGGAGCTCGTCGCCGCCGCAGCAAGGCGAGGGGCGCCCCGCGCCGCTGGCGCGCGGGCCAAGCAGGCGCCGCGGAGTCTTTTGCAGCGAGGACTCGGACGACCCCGACGAGGCACGCGGACATGATCGTGAACCTCGTCTGCCGAGCGTGCTCAGCGAGGCGCGCGAGGAAAATCCCAGTCGCCAGAATTGCGGCTTCGGGCGGTCAACCGCGCACAGAAGCACGAGATTGACCGGCCCAGGGGAGAACTAAGCAA